TGAGCACCAGGAACTTCGCTTGGGAGCGGAGGAACAATTGCCGCTGCCGCCACCGCCCGAGTCACTTACTCATGAGGTGCAGGAACCACTGCCCCAGCCAGAGCACCCTCTGCAGACCGCCAACACCGATTGCCAGCACATTTCACATTTTTCTTAAATGAAGTATTCAAATTACCAAAAAAAAAGGAGAAGTTGATGCCAGCAAGAGGAGTGAGACCACAGCACGGGCATTTCCCATGTTTCCCGTGTTTCTTAATCTCAGCTTTCACAAAAGAGAACAACCTGCTTCTGCCTGAAGCAAATAATTTCAAAATGCAGAGCAGATTGTGCTCACTAGTTATCTGTAACTAGCAATTACAGATTTGGCAGACTACAGAAAACGGAGCAGGCATGACTTGGCGTGCCAGCACATGCACGTATGTGACACACACCCGGACACAGAGCTCTCGGGGAACAGCACCGCTTCGGAGGTACTCAGGGCTTTGAAAAACTGTCTGTCCTACTAGGCTGTATAAGTGAATGCAATGAATTCACGTTAATTTTAATAAAGCTTTCTAATGCAGAGATGTTTTGGTCACTTAAAGCACAACTGAGCATTTGCGCAGATACAAAACTTTGAATTGAAATCAAAGTCTAAACGCCTCGATGCACATTCCTGTTCGTCTCCTGTGCACGATCCCGTGTTCCACGCAGGACTGGGAAACGACCTGACAACAAATCCAGCCCTCAACTGGTCGTTACTAACAGCAATGAGATTTCCTATACATCAACTAGATGCCAAATAAAGGTCACTGGTGTGAAACCTCCAGTCACCTCACCGTAGTGTTTGGTAAACCAGAGAACGGTGCAAATAGACAGGGTAGTGGTGACTAAAAGATGAAATGGCTGCAAACACATAAAGAACAAGTGAAAAAAAAAAAAAACAATCCCACAAAAAAATGCTTTCTTTTACCTAGATACTTCTTGGGTTTTATGGATAAAATAGAAACAGTTTGCACAACACTCAGGCAAATGATAGCAGAAATAGCTCAATCCATTCATTAAACTCCTCCTCTGAAGCAGTACTGCCAGAATGCACTCAATATTATTAATATAAACTTTAAAAATTAAAAATCCCCATTTATTTTCATAAGCTAACTTTTTGGTGGGAAGTAGGAGGGCAGCCTCAGAAGCAACTTGGCTTTCTTTCTAACCAGTACTGAATGTTTAGATTTACAGAAGGAAGCTGCAAGATGCTGAAGTTAGTTTTCCACAACATCTCTGCAAAATGGCAAAGAGTTTGTAGTCTTGAGTTTGCTTGGGGAGGGCTCGTATTTGTGAATCTTGCACAGAGCACGTGTTTCTACGTATTCTAACCATAAACTTCAAAATCTTTAGGCCTTTAATTTTTAGAGGTGATTTAAGTTATGCAATTGTAGGCTGCTTTGCATGCAATGGACATATTTACAATTATTTCTTACCATTTATATAAGTTGCATGTGCCTAAAGAAGAGCATTCAAATTTCACAAAGTTGTGGGGGGTTTTAAAGCTTGTTGCATTACACCAGGTTAAAATTAACATGTACTATATCCCTTCTTTCCACATTGTTTGGAGAAATTCAGATAAAGATTTCCTATAGGAATCTGTAATGACAATACAGCGATAGCCTGATCTGAAGAGTAAAAAACATTTTAAAATTATGAAAAGAAATTCTAGCAGTGCAGCTTAAAAAAGGCTAAGACAGGAAACCTAACTTAACATGAACCTTCACTGCAGGAGGACAGGTTAATAGAAGGCAAAAAACCAACCTCACAAACTCAGTAAGACTTTTTAAAGAGGAACATTTCAATGGAATCACAGCTTAAGCTAAAATAGCCTAGAGGGATTTCCTTCGCTCCTGTTTACGTGGGCAATCGTACCCGTTTTTGTTTTGAGGCATTACCACAGCGCAAAACAGAGACAAGGAGAAGTTGAACCGATCCAAATTACAAACCCCAAGTATTTTATTGAATATGCCTGCTTTGCAATAAATTTGAGTCAGCCCCAGCGACAGCTCTGCAGTCCTCCAGTGTAGTGCAGATCAGGTGGTTGCAGAGCCCGGCTCGCAGCAATACGATGCAGCTGAAGAGGCAAGCACAATCCACAGACAGCAACTGTAGCTACTCTCTAGAACGAGCCGACCTCTAAGCTTAAATCTCTCACAGAAACGATGTGCTGATGTTGCAGAAGCGACTGCGGTAAGTTTGAGTCTTTTGTCTTTTCATTGCAAAAACCTACTAGAGAATTAGAGACGGAAATAAGAACGGAATCATTAGTTGATGACAGATGCTTGCACCAGAAATTTGCTGCAGTGTCAGAGATTTCTTACTAACTCTAATTCAGCTTTCAGATGCGTGTTGCCGGCTTTGAGAATGTAATGCACGCTGCAATAAGGAAAAACAACAATGTGCACGGTCGCATGAATGTAGAATTTGGATTTCGAGCTAAATTCCTACCAGTTTAAGATGTATTTTAACCAATTCTACTCAAGCAAATAGCGTGCATGTATGGGGGGGGACTGCTACATTACTGCAGAGATTTGTAAAGCAGATCCAGTTGACAGCCATTTTTTCATCCTGTATAAAAGAACACATTATTCCAAACATAATATAGGCTTGAAATCACTAAAAACAAGAAGCAGACATTGTATAACATTTGGAAGAGACTTGCATTTTCGGAAGAAAGCCCTCATTTGAGCTTGAGGGGGAAAGGGAGATGAAAAAACAAGTCTCATTCTGCCAGACAACACAACAGTCTATGAAGGGATGCTTTGTAAAGTCTCTCTTGAACAATTCTAAAAAGCACCATGCCACAAAGGGCTTTATTGATATTTTCACTTAATCTCTCCTGCGAGTGGTCACTGCAAAGCCAACCCTTATAAAGAAATAAAATATATTACATGGATTTAAAGGGTGTCATTTTGGTATATTTATTTTCAGGCAACGATGGAATACCAGATATTGAATACATCTACCTGTCTGCTGGTCCTTCTGTTTTTCATACCCATCGCTTCGGGTATCTGTCCTTCTAACTGTACATGCTCAGGAAACGACAGGAATGTGGACTGTTCAGGCAGAAACTTCACTGTACTGCCACAGGGACTTCAAGACAACATCACATATTTAAACCTGTCCTTTAACCAGTTTGTAGATCTCGATCACCAGTTAACGAGATTCACCAATTTGAGGACCCTTGATATTTCAAGTAATTGGCTCAAGAACGTTCCTGCCCACCTGCCCAAGTCCTTATGGGAATTATATGCCATAAACAACAACATCAAAGTTCTCCAGAAACTTGACACGGCTTACCAGTGGAATCTCAGAGTGCTCGACGTTTCCAGGAATATGGTGGAGAGAGCAGTTCTGATCAACAACACGCTCAGCAGCCTCAAGTTTCTCAATCTCAGTAGCAACAAACTGTGGACAGTTCCAACCAACATGCCCTACAACATAGAGACCGTGGATCTATCCCACAACTTCTTGTCCCAGATACTCCCGGGGACGCTGGTGAGACTACAGCACCTCACAAGCCTCTACCTGCACAACAACAAGTTCACGTACATTCCCGACAAAGCTTTCGACCAGCTCTCTCAGCTGCAAGTAGTGACGCTATACAACAACCCATGGGCCTGCAGCGACAAACAAAATATCCCTTATTTGCTCCAGTGGGTGCAGGGGACAGCTGCCAGCGTTATCGGGGCTCCCTGCGCCAGCCAGTCCGTGCCACTGGCCCCGGTGGCCTCCCACTCCCACACCCCCCGGCCTCCCGACCCAAGGGATGAAGGCAGCAGACAAAGCGGCTCCGCCAGCAGCAGCTGACCCAACCAAAATGACAAAAGTGCACAAACAGTTGAAAGCCAAGGAAGCGACCACCTTGGCCACCTCAAGCCGCGCGGTGCTGCTCACGAGCACAGACCGGCCCCTGCTCCTCTACCCAGAAGATGCGACGACGCGGCATGGCTCGCAGGAGGCAGCGGCCACGCGCACCGTCCACATCCAGGATCCCACCGCGGTGAACTCGAGCCTGACTCGCCCCACGGGGTCGGCCACGACTCCCATGACTCTGAGCATCACCAGCGGGATGCCCACAAACTACTCCCGACTGCCTCAAAGCACAACCGCTACCTTAAGGAAAGAGGAATCCACGACAAGTGTTCTCAACGCCCGCGTGCCCTCCAGAGCAAGTACCTGTGAGATGTATTTGTTTTGTGTCGTGATGCTTAACGCAGCAGCAGCCTTTATGGGCTAAGAGCTTGTATCTTGTGAAAACTACTGAGTTTATTCCTGTGGTACATACCTGGAATTAAATACATCCAGTTGAATAACAAATCAAACCCAAGAAAGGCAAAGTTCTGACCCTGATTAAAGAAAGTAACAGTTCTTAAAGGAGCGCACACTAACGTCTGGATACTAAGCTGCTACTTATTTTACTATGTCTTAACTCAGTAAAACTAACCTATCATTTTGTTTTTAAAATGTGCTTATTTTGTATTTGAATTTTTCATTTTACTTGCACAGAATAAAACATCAGGATTTTAAGTACTGATTTTACGTATGATTTTGTCATTAAACAACTGGAACAAACTCGAAGGCCTGTATCATATCTGCATTGTCTTGCTTGACCTGCCAGTGAGCAATTCCTGTAATATAGCAGCACAGATCCTGTGTAAGTTAGGATGACATGCAAAAGGAAGGGAAAAAATAAAGGAACTCAACCTAGCTGTTTCACTAATCCGAAGTTATTCCTGAGAAAAATCGCTAGCATGTGTATCTATGTTTGCTTCATATGTATTACGATATTTTAAATATGAAGAACACAGTTTTGAACTTAGGAATTAAATATGAAAATGCCATGATGTCTGCTGAGAGGGTGTAAACTGAGAAGGCAACATGGTCCAACTTTAGCATGGAAAAATGGTAAGGGCCGAGATATCTTCCTGCTGCCTTGACTTAAAGACTGCAGGCAAGTTATTTCTCACTCTCCATATTAAAAAAAAAAAAAAAAAAGCAAAAAGATTAAAGTAGAGGAAAACACAAGATGTTCAATGCCATGACGCTCTCCAACAAGGAGTTATCTACACAAATTAATGAAACTCCTTAACTTTATTTCAAGTGACGTCCTAGGAATCTGAAATGTTAATTTATGACGCTTAGAAGAGTAAAACAAATCAGCCAGAAGGCAGCAAACTACTCCTTTTTGATCAGTAAAATGAAATCTCAGCCAATTTCTAGCACACGTTACGTAGCAAATCAATTAAGCAATTAGTTGTCAAGTTGTCATTGAAACAATTCTTGAATCTCACGACTTAAAAAAATTATAATAATTGAGTCTGTGGCATTGAACACGCCCAAATCCTTGCTTTTTAAGGACGAGCATGAATGCTATTCTCCTTGACGTCTGCACCATCAACGAGTAGAAATAGTTGCACGCATGGTTCTGTCCACTCTAGGAAAATAACTTAAATTACATGGCAAAGGTACTTGATATACTACAGATGAAGTTTTGCAAACAGCATGAAATGAAAACTGAAGAACAAGTTCACTGAAAAAGTATTATTCGCTTAATATTACAGATCTTTACACAGTGTTTTCCATTCATTTCAGGCCATTTAATTTCCAGTTACTGTAGCATGAAGGTGCTGCAAAACCCAGAAAACCTCACTAGTGAGACTGGAGCCCTCAACCTGTTTCTCCTGCGGGTCAGTGAGGGCTGCAGACCATTTACAACCACTGGCACCAGAGAAATGACAACTTTCCAATTGTGAACAGTATTTCTATGACCGGAAAAGTGTTTTAATTTCTAACAGTAAATGTTACACAACAAATTTGTACAGTTATTTCATTGGCATTTAAGTAAAAATAAAGTTATGTTTGTATTGAGCTGAATGAGTGACAGTGCTTCTTTTCAAATAGGCTTAGTAATATCACTGAATAGAAAACGTGACACAAACCCATTTCGCGAAGACATCTGTCTCCATCTTCATGCCTTATGGGGGAAAGTTATGGTTAGATCATATTAGTTTGATACCGATGTATCCTTAATATTATTTATTAGTAAGCTGATGAGATAATAAGAACATAGGGTCTACTCTTCCCCTTCCCACCCTCTAACAGCTGCAAACACCCAAGGCACACCTCTAGCCACTAAAGGGAGCTCGTTCTCTCTCTCAAAAGACTCTCCATGTTTAAGAAGACAAAAAACTTTTTAAAAAAAAACACCACCAAACCCCCACCAAACCCAAGACTGACATTTTGTGTGCATTTTAGGTAGACAAGAACTACTTATTCGAGTCAAAGTTCAGACAGCCTAGACCACGGGCAGTACGTGCACGATATCCGCAGGTGCCAGCAGAAGAGCCTCATTGTACGAAGTGGCTGCCAGCAGGCTGAAATGTCACCCACTTGAAAAGTTCCACAGGTTTCCCCCAGGCTAAACAATCTGATACGAAGTGACAATTTCCAGTAACTAAGTTCAGTATCTAAAACCTGTCATTGCCTGCCGCTTTCTTTGGGCAGTCGATGCATTTGCTACGTACTGTCTGAGTACAAAACAGGATAAACCCACTTACCACATTCAGAACTGGGTATTTCCTAGAATTCTCTCATTCATACCGCTTCATCCCACATAGCTGAAAGCAGCTTAGCTTGCAAGGTGGGACAGAGACCACAAAACGAGGTGCTATGACTAAACCACCTTGAGTTGAGGAAATTACCTGAAGCACTACATGTGTCTTTGCTGAACAACTCACTGCAGGATGCCAGACTCTGCTGCATGAAAAAAACCTACTGGGGATCAACTTTAAACGCTCTGGGACTGTTTCACCCATAACGAGACTATCCAGTGAACTGCAACTCTATTAAAAAAACCAAAAACAACAACATGAAAATAATCAAACTGTTTTCCAGAAGTTGTTTGGGGCAAACTGCAAGTCTCCGTGATGAATGACTTGCCACCCAGACTTCAAAGCCTTAGGCATGCTGATAAAAGCCTGGAACTGGGCTTTTCCAGCTCTGTGTATAGGACGGGGAAACTCAGATACGAAACAACTGCAGGAGGCTATGACAGTGACACATCCCTCCCGGGCTGCAGGGCTGCGCTCGCTCCCCAGACCTTGCCTGTGCTAGGTGCAAGAGGGCTTCTTGGTCAGACTGCCTTCAATAAAGAGACGGGAATTTAGGTTTCCTTGTATTTTTCTGGAATACAAATGAGGTGATAACAGAGCAGCGAGTGGGCAGGCAAATGTGGGAGTCGTGCACTTGTTGCTTGGCAACGGCGCAGTCAGGCTGCAATCAAGCCGATGGGCAGGGATGGGAACACAGCAGCACCGTCTGTGCCGTTTCCAGCACGCTGGTCATGCAGTCCAGGATAAACACGTAATATCTATCCCCAGAAAAACTATTTTTTTCCCTGAAATAACTCTTTGGCATTTCAGGACAAAATTCAAAATACCCCAAAAAAGGTCTAGCACATCTCTCACATGCAATGCACTTGCTTTTGGAAGGTTAAAATTGCCGTAGGGATGCCTGCCATCCAAAGCAATAACTCAGAGGTTTGTATTCCTATTAATTACATTGGTATCAGCTTTAAAACTTTATGGCAGTACTTCAGGATCAATATTTATTGATTTATTGGTCATTTTAGTAACAACACGAGGATTAAAAACAGAGGAGTGCTGGCTTCAGAAGTCAGGTTGTTGCCCAGGAAACAAAATGTGAAGAAAAATGACAGAAGGAATTAAATTTCGCAACACAAGAAGGATATAAACTGAGCCAGATATATCAGTAAAATGACTCAACAATGCCCTAGCAACAAGATCTTGAACTACTAAAAAAACCCCAACGAAACACAAACAAAACAAAAAAAAAAACCAGCACCCAGCCTGCTGCAAGCCCTCCAACATCCTGGCAGCTCCTATCTAAACAGAATCTTGCCACATTTCACACCTTAAAAAAATGACACCTGGCTCAGAACCACAAGACAAACCCCTCAAATAAGCAGCACTGAGCCACAGCCCTGCGAGTGGGAAAGATGTCGGAGCATCATTCCAGACCAAAGCCCCAACTCAGGGGTCTGCAAACGCAGCCCCAGGGAGAACAAACGAAGAATTACATGGCTGCTGAAGAGAAAGCAAGCAACCAAGCAGGAGTTAAGGACACGCACTACTCCGAGTAGCAAGGCTTACTTCCAAGTGTAACACATTTTCATTAAGTGCCTGGGTACAAGGTACAGAAATCCGCTCAGTGTGTCTCACTCATGACAAGCGGTAAGGAGTGCACATACCTCCAAGTGAATGATACCGTAGCCTGTTTCAATGTCAGATTATATATTTCTGTAAACACGTCACCAGTTTGGGTGTGTATAATCAAGTTGCAAGAAGTGCTTAATCGATTCCCCAGTCTTTCTGCTGATATATCAACGTTTGGTTGCGTGACAATTCTATGTTTCCTAACTGCATGTAGTCCCAATAAATATTTATAGGTATCTCACACAGATATTACACATTAACTTTATTTCATCCTCAGTAAACAAGAGAGAATTCTGAGCAACTACTTAAGGCTTAAGCTCTCCTCTGCCTCCTTTTCAGGTACTCTGCTGCACAGAATCCGAGCCGCAAACCACGCAGGACTGAAGGAAGAGGATTATATATCAGTAAAACCTCTCCAGATGCTTGTAAAAACCACTTTTCTTCTACCCACCAGCACTCTCACAGCACACATCACCGAACATTGGACCAGTTAACAGTAAAATGTGAACAGATATATTTGCTTCTTGGCTCTTTAACTGCATCCTGGCTAGGAAAGCATATTTAAGTTACAGAAATCAACTACAGAACTAGAGGTTACATTTGGAAAGGTTCCTCAAAGCTGGCTCATTATTTTAGCCTCCAACCTGAACTTCAAGTAAGGTGTGTTTATTAACCGAGGGTAAAACAATAACCAATCATTAAAATTGTTCCTTATTTGAAAATGTGGAAATTTTGACAATTTCTCTGGGGAAATGACAGAAGACGCATGGCCTAACAGAGCGTGGACCTTCTATGAAAGTAAGTTTGTAAGTCAATCCACAGAGTAAACAGGACTACTGAAAAACAACAAAAATGCAAGAAAATTAGTAAAATTAAGGATGTCACTGCCATCACAAACAGGCACCCTGCCAGCACCAGGGAGAGCCAAAGCAACCACAGGAACTCCACCAGCTGCCACGGGCAGCTCCACCAGCACCAACCACATCCCCAACAGCGAAACCAA